TGACCCATTACAAGTTTTTGAGAGAGGGAAAAGGCCTTTCCATTTGGGCATCACAAACACAGCCAACCATACTGCTGCAAAGTGCAACTTCTCCAGTCCACTACTTCAGTCACTCTTAGCAAAAACTGCATAGTCTAACTTGCCTCCCCAGGAAATATTGCCACAGTTGCAAGCTCTGCAATTCCCCACACTTCATTACAACAGACCGCAGTATGTTTGCTGGTGTAATATACTACGAGGGATCATAAATAATTAAGAATTAATCACACTTGTCAAAATAAGTAAATGCATTCAGTGATACAGAATGCATGAATTTTTTATAGCATCTTTTTGCTTATTCATGAATAAAAAGTTTGAAAGCCTAGCAATGGATTGACTGCTCATTACAATACATACAGTCTTGATTCATATACTAATGTAGGGAAGGCAGCATCAACAGCGGCTGCCCAGAGACAGCAACAGGAGCAGAAGCCAGTGGGAAAGCACCTGAAGAACAGCACAAAGAAATGCCAGCCAGTGAAAGCCAGTTTCCAGATGGGGCCAACTTCAGTGTCTCAACACAAATGCATAGAGCATGGGAAATAAACAATGGGAACTGGAATTTTTAGCCTAGTATCATGGTTGAGATATCCTCAGAGAGATGCAGTGGGATGGCTCACAACCTCAGAGTGCTGAGATGGATGGCTACAGGCTTTTCAGGAGACGTCGGGGAAGAAGAGAAGATGGGGTAGCCCTCTACGTTAGGGAAGGTCTGGAGTATATGGAACTGAGCAATGGCAATGAATGGATCGGGTAACTCTGAGTAAAAGTCAGGGGGAAGGCCCACAGGGGAGATATTATCTGGACTACTGTGTACAGTTCTGGGCTCCTTGGTTCAAGAAAGACAGGGAACTACTGCAGGGAGCCCGTCAGAGGGCTGGAAAGATGATGAGGGGTGGGCCTGGTGCATCTCTCTTATGAGGAAAGGCTGAGAGATCTTGTGCTGTTTGTCCAGGAGAAGGAAAGACTGAGAGGGGATGTTAACACTTGCAAATATCTAAAGGCCAGTTGTCAAGGTGATGGGACAGGGCTCTTTTTGGTGGTGCCTGGCAAAAGGACAAGGGACAACAGGTACAAATTGGAACACAGTAATTTCCATTTCTTTACTGTGAGTTTGAAAGCGTGCTGGAACGGGCTGCCCAGAGAGGCTATATAATCTTCTTCTCTGGAGATATTAAAAACCTACTGCAGGACACCTGCTTTAATTGGGGAATTGGATTAAATGATCTCCAGAGATCCCCCCAAGATTGAGCCTACAGAAAAGCTTGAAGTTATTAGTAGCTCCAACCCATCTTCACTTACTCTGTCTGCCAGCTAGGCCCTGAACAGCAGTCATTCTGTCATTCACTGGTCCACTTAACAGGATCACAGAATCGTAGGGGTTAGAAGGGACCTCCAGAGATCATCAAGTCCAACCCCCCAAAGCAGATCCCGTACACCAGGTTGCACAAGTAGGTGTCCCGGCGGGTCTTGAATATCTCCAGAGAAAGAGACTCCACAACCTCCCTGGGCAGCCAGTTCCAGTGAACAGAGAAGAATTTTTGCAGAGTCTCCAAAAAAATGGTACGAAGTATCTCGATGGAAGCACTTCTACAGATTCCTACAGACAGTCATGCAATTCTTCCTCCCAAACAGTCAACAGTTTTGCATAACAAATGTTTTAGCACCATTTGCAAGGCTTTTACAAAATAGCAAATAATATTAACCACATAAATCACACCTTTTCACCAACTCTACAAATTTATGAAACAGTGCATCTCTCTCATCTTTCACCCAGGAAGAAGGAAGTGGGCAGAGGATAAGGGAGGAATATAACACCACTCAAACTCTGCCAGCACAGACTCAAGATCCATCAACTTCAGACATTTGGCTCTGGAAACAGACAGGTGTAGATACATAGAAAAGAATAAATGGACAAGGAGAACAAACAAGGAGAACAAACAGTTTTACTTCTCCAGACTAATCTCCTGGCCTTTGGGGATATACTGCACAAAGACTACCAGCCAAAAAAGGAATTTCATAGACATTAACTCTTTTTCTTCCTGAACATATCCTGTCCATTTGTGTACACACAAGTCTTTTAGCACCAACAGTTGCCTCTGGAAAACAGTTCCACAGTTCTACTCTATCTCATTTGCTTTTCTTTTGAACCTGACATCTACTAATTTTACCTGACGCTGGTCAACTCTGTTTTAGAAGAAATAAGGAATATTCCTCCTGCACTCATCCTGTGTTTTATGAAGTTTTGGTAGTTTTTAAACTTCTCTATATCTTTCATAAAGATTTTATGACAGCCTAAGCTTTAATAGACCTTTGCCACATAGTCCTTTCAGTATCTCTTCCAGGCTGAGCAGCACTCATCAATTTAAGCGCTCCTAAAAGAGAGCCATTACGTACTTCAGATCATCCTCGTTTTCATTCCTTTAACAACTTTCCCAGATGTAATAAATTATATTTTGATGTATGGGAACCAGAAAAGAATGATTTATTCTATATATAAGTGACCCACGCATTTATACAAGAGTATTATTTTCTATTTTCTACTCCCTTCCCAATAAATTCCAACATGACATTTACTTCAGGAGAACCAACTCATCAGCAATCATAAGTTTATTCTTACTCCATAATCAGCTTGAACGATTGCAACAACATCAGAATATACTCTTCTATAAACCAAAATCAGTTTAGCCCACCACTTCATTTCAAATAATCTACATTAAATTTCACCTTCCACAACTGTCTGGTTAAGCATGCTTTTCCAATTCTTTGCAAACCAGGCCTCCATTTCCAACCCTGAATAATTTAATATTTAACTTTGTCACCTCACCATCTATCTCTGTTCGGGGTATCAGTGGTTCGTGTGACAACAAACACTGAACATGTCAAATGAGCATAGTGCTCAGATATGACCATAACCAAATGTTGAGACATTTAAAACTTGTTCTTCCTTGTTCAATTCATGATGGTTTGTTGTGATTCCTAGACACTGAGCCATACCATGCTGCAGAGGGTAAAACAAACAGAACAACCCCAGAAAACCAAACAAAACTAGAAGTAACACAGAACTCTTTCCATTGTCTCTCTTCAGGAGCTCTCTCAATGGTTTTCCGCCAAACCTTTTGCATGAAAGGTATATGAAGCATGATGAATCATACTTAAGGCATTTGTCTTATCAGTGTCTTAACATGGCTTGATAGCCAAGTGATGAGGATAACCTAAGCCATCTCAAAAGCTAGTTACCTTATCTGTTTATCTCTGTGCGTTTCTGTCTGCGAAGGAGATGAAATGAGATTGAGATAATTGGAAGTGCAATTTGCAGGGACCAGTAGGGGTTGGAATTACTTGTGCTTAATTATTTCAGAATGAAACAGATCGCACAAGTATCTGTGCCAAGCAGCTGTAATTAAAGTGATTTAAAATAGAGAGATGCTAGCTCCAAGTGTTGATTTTTCAAACGAGGTTTTATATGCAAAGACTTGAGTCATCTACGAGTTGCAGACCTACAGTTCTATAGGTGGGCTCAAGAGAAAATTACCAATGTTCAACATACTTGACAATTATTTAAAAAAAAAACAAACAAAAAAAACCACACACACACACACACACACACACACAACCCCACCATTCATCCCAAAGACTTCATCCCAGCATCTCATAAACCTAAATCCACTAGACTGCGTATGTGGAATGAGAGCAAAGAGCAGAATACAAACTTTTGCCTATTTTCCAGATTGAGAAAGGAAGGGGATAAAAAAGATCTAACAACAAAAAAAGCCAAGAGACTAAATACAAAGTTATAACGCTACTGAAGCATTCGTCATCAATGTGCAGAACCACAGTGACCTGACCAGGCCCTTCACTGGGGATGATAACTTTATCATTCACTGTTTTCCCCATTTTTTCCCATTCCAAGAAAGCAACAACTATTATTTTTAATCCAAAACAAACCTGTTTTAATTTCTAAATTTCATTAGCAGACAGTCTGCATGAGAATTAAAAAGAAAAAAAAGGAAATACTTTCTCAGCAGCAAACATTCTGGTTTACCTCAAACTTCTTTTCTTGATACAAAGATACTTAATTGTATCTTTGTATCAAGAAATTTATTACGTGCACGTCTGTTCTCTGATATGAAGACTGGAATATATTTGCATGTGGCACAAATGTGGTCCATCCACAGAACCCACTAAAATTACTCAGTTTGCTGATGAATCAGCATTCAAACAACTGGCTGTGACACCTTGGATATTAATTTACAATAGTTTTTTGGGAGAAGTACTGTCCTCTTGATAGAGATGAGAAAACAGAATCCAAGAACAGGAACAAAGGCTGCACTGAAACTTCTCCTTAATATTTGCCTGAATGTGAAACCTGTTATAAGCAGTCAGACTCAAAGTCTGCAAAGGCAAAAGACATCTGGTGCTGGCCAGTAATGAAAGGATCTGTCACTTGCAGATCTCTGGAAGAGAGGCTTCTTGAGTCCAAAGATATGAACAAACACTAATGAATATATTCTGCAAGAACTCATCCAACCCTTCTACAATCTTATGCATATTTCTGGCCTCCGTAACATTAATTTATGCATCTTATTATCACAGTTTATTCAGATATAACATTAAAAAATAGCACTTCTAACTTTGTGGCTTCTTCCAAATCTCAACTATTCTCATCCAAATACTGTTTGTCGCGCACATCAGCCTGATTCAACCTTTACATAAGGCTACGTTTGATATTCTGCTTCCCTTAAATATCCTGCAGACAAAAGTAGATATTTCATACACAACATGACTGCCTTTGTTTATCACACTGCATTTGCTTCTCGTGCTGTTTGAATTCACTGTCTGCTGCAGCATAAGAATTACAGCTGCCTAAGGTATTTTAAGAGGAAACGTTTGGCTGGTTGGTTTAGCAGCTTAGCATCAACCACTCCAATGGAGGCATGACACAGCTGTGTTCACTTTACCTTTTGGTGTATTCTCAGAGTGATCTCTCTCTGGTCCATCCAGGATGTTCAGCTGTAAGATATCCTCTGCACTCACTCTCAACCAAGCTTTGTTGGGGCTTTCCTGATCTTTCGAGGAAAGGGAATATTCCAGCTCACAAGGAGACTCAAAATTGCAATCAAATACTGGAAAAAGAAAACAGACACAGGACATATTAGGTTTATTCAGCTAAGTTTTCTCTGTGCTGGAATGACTTTTTAATGAGCAGTAGGAAAATCAATAGGGACAGGCAATAGTATGTCCAAAATGGACCATACTAAGAGATCCATTAGCAGATGAAGAGAAGGGCCCAAAAGCCAGTAACTTTGTACATCCGAGGCACGTGGGACAGGCTGGGAGTTGCAGGATTTCATCCTGCGAACCGCCTTTCTGACTCTCAGGGTTTGTAAAGCTTCTGGTCAGGAGCTTGATCTGCTGCTGAAACTTTAGCCTCCAGGCAGTACCACCAGCATTTGTCTCCTACAGACATTTCTTTTGGAGATGTTTCTCTTTTAGAAAAGAAATATCCTATTGCTGTATCTGTGAATCATTTCTTCATGTCCAATCTGCTGTCAAACCATAATACAAGTTGCTTAACACGAGATATATTGATACCTTGAAGTTTACGTACTTCTAGGTATTGCTAGGATTGCTGAATTTCCTAGAATGACCAGTCTACTTTTTCTTTTCCTGTCAGCACTAAACACAATGCTCAGTAACCAACAGAAACTATTTCTGAGCTCAGTGTTCCTGAAAAAGCATTTGTAAAAGTATATATATACATATTTCAGTTCCTTTTTGGAGCCTTCTATAATGTCTGCTGTGGAAGTGAAACAAATAATCTGAATCCACATTAGTCAAGTTAACTAATATTTTAAAAGTTTAATTACATCCTCTATTAAACATCCGATTTCTTCTTTGCGTGCACACATTCTTGTACCTCAGGCTGTTCTCCTGGTGACACAACATCTTGTAATGTGGAGGTTAATACCATTGCCCTCAATATAATTTCTCCTGCTAATTCATCTTTTTAATAGCAAACTGGAAGGAGCAAAATCTATTTTTCTGGTTTACATTTGATTTTTTTAATCACAGGATGGTTTGAGTTGGAAGGGACCCTAAAGCCCACCCAGCCCCAACCCCTGCCGTGAGCAGGGCTGCCCCCACCAGCTCAGGCTGCCCATCCAACCTGGTCTTGGGCACCTCCAGGGATGGGGCACCACAGCTCTGGGCAGCAGTGCCAGGGCCTCACGACCCTTTCAGTAAAGGATTTCTTCTTGACATCCAACCTAAATCTCCCCTCTTTTAGTCCTTGTCCTATGACTTCTTCACATGGTCTGATAGCAAAATCTCCCTTCCTTCAGGAACTTGAAGGCAGCAATGAGGTCTCCCCTGAGCCTTCTCTTCTCCAAGCTAAACAAGCCCAGCTCTCTTAGACTTTTCTTCATAGAAGAGGCATCCCAGCCCTTTGAGCATCTTCATGGCTTCCTCCGGACCTGCTCCAACAGCTCCATGTCTTTCTGATGTTGGGGCCCCAGCACTGAACACAGTACTCCCAGGGGAGTGTAGCTCTGGTCAGGTGAAGCCATCAGAGCATTAGGCAGTGGTGGTGGTTCCACCACCTTCTCTCCCTCCTTCCCAACTAGAAGGAACTCCAGCCCCTGCTCTAAGATGAGTGCTCATCACTTTGCCTCCTGGATCCAGTAGGATGAATGCCCTTCACCAGTGCAAACAGCAATAGAGCAGCCCCCAACTGTTGGATATACACATTTTGTCCCCTTTTGTTCTCCCATACCCTCTGCCACCCCCCACCTGAGGTGCCATGCCCTGAGCAGTGAGTGGTTGCTGCCAGCCCTGCCCACTCTGCTCAGCTCCAGGGTGGGTCAGCAGCACCCAGGTGCTCCTCATTGCCCACAGCTGTTTTACATTCACAGCATTTTCTCTGCTTCAAAACACCATGAAAACCCTCCAGTGTAAGGAATTCATACAAAAGAATCTTACACATCTTTAAATTTGAATGCACATGTTGCTACTCACTTTAGATCTCCATCTTTTCCAAATAAATTTCACAATACATGAAGCATTCTTCAGCTTAGGCAGCAGTGGATACATTCATGCTATAGAGTTTGCTACTATAATATTGTACCCAAACTGCAGGTGACTTTTTTCTCTTGTCCCCTGTTGTTCTTTATAAAAATAAAACAAAACTAATATATGTTTTAAATCTACAAAGTGCTAAGACTCTATTAAAATTTGCACTAAACCCAAATGAGCAAAAGAGCAATCAAACACCGAGCTGCAAGTTACAGAAAACATTGTTTGTAAAGCTGCAGAATTCCTTGGGTTGGAAGAGACCTCTAAGCTCACCCAGCTGATGTGATACAGCTGAATGGCCTTTAAAACATGTTATTCTTTGATAGAAAAGGATAAAAAAGGAAGCTGCTTGGTTTGTACATCTGAAGAGTGTCCTCTATTTAATGAAAACATACTTGCATCTTTTAAAGAATTTGATAGTCCTCCCACTCCCTTCCCTACACCACCAGAATAGCTGCTCTCTTCATAAGCTCTTATTTAAATTAGTCTCATATCAGACCAAAATTTCAGTTCTATTGTCCTATTCAGTACTAGGAAATGATGACAAAGAAATGCTATCTGATGCAACACAGCAAAGTCTATGCAAATAGAATTCAGTCTTCCAAGCCTAACATTAGTCAACTTCCCACCAGGCTTTCAGTCTCACATAATATCCTCCACTGTAGACAGTGTAATATACTTTATATGAAAAAAGCATGATGTGTGATATATATTTTTCCACTGATCAGCTGCTCTTGGTGTAGTAGCTGCTGCAAGCCCGTATAAACCACATCCCTAAATAAGAACCATCACAATATTTCAATTACTTCCCACCAATTACCTGTCATTTTTTATGCCTCTGCCTAAGAAAGGTCTTTCACCTTCCTTTGTGACTTTTTTCTTAGTGGGTTTAAATGCAACACCAAATGCCTGGCTAAACTCACAAAGTAGCCATTTACCTTCAGAAGCTGAATAAAAGCTTCTGAAATACACCATGTAAAAACAATCCCTGGTCCAAGAGTCTTTTGCATTTCCATCTGTTTTCAGTGAACACTGGAGAACAGTTTAACTTATTAAAGTCTATTTTACCACCGTTACGCTTTTAAAGAGGAAACAAAACGTAATGCTTAGTCAAATCAAGAAAGGTTTAAGAAAGGTTGAAGACATAAATTACTTAGTTTCGGGTATACAAGATGATACAGGACAGCAATCTTAGACTGAAAAGTAAATCAAGCTACCATCCAATTGAAAAGCCAGTGGAATCTGTGATGATGTTAAGAGTCTTGTGAGTAATTCAATTTATGTTAATCAAAGTAGCTATCAGCAATAATTTGGGCACAAACAACTAATATATCTGGCAACTACGTCTGTTTTAATTAAATGGACTGAAACTTTCTGATAAACAAGTGACTTAAAATAGTAGTATAAGCAATTTTCCAAAACTGCAATTTTCTGCAGAATAATCTGCAGAAAATATCCTTCTACATTGCTGCAGGTCAAATTGCGGATCATTCGCTCTTTGAATCCTCTTAGATCCTTTGTGTAAGCATGCATCACAGAAACATGCCTTATTTAGGAGAAAAATAATTTTAAAGAGAAACATAAACTGCCTGTACTTTTAAATAAACTATGTTGATTGCTCTTTCTTTGGCTGCTCAATAACAGACTAAATTTACTTATTTTAGACCAAGCCCTCTTTCAAACATCAAAATCTTACCTGCAAGTACTTTTCTCATAAGCTTCTCCTTTCGAGTTTAACATGTCCTTTTCACCCTCAGCCTTCTCAGTCTCACAAATCGCTCTCTATTACTCTCAGCTGATCACCCTTTTGAGACAGTGTTTGCTTTGTCGCCTCACTGAGACAGACAAGGGAGAGAGCAGAGCTGCTCTGTTCTCAAAAGGAGCAGCTCAAAGATGTATATCCTAACTGGCAAGTAATCAGCTTAAACGCAGCTAATTTATCCTACACCTACAGATACAAGTGTGCGATGTAGAGGTCACTTACACTGATCAAAATGGGACCAAAACTTTTCTCCTGGGCCCACTTCATCAAACACCAACAATCACACCACCAGCAGTATAGAAATGGATAAAATATTCCTGCAAGGAATGTCTCTTTATACAAATATTGACAGATATTCCTTGTGGAGGAGACATAATTTAAATTGTATAGTAGAGATGTGCTCTGCTGAGTGAGCTTTGAGACCTCCATCAATACTCACTAACCTCTATTATACTCATGTTATGATGACTATAAGCTTTTAATTTATGACAAGGAAATGACAAATTGATTTTCCAGTTATTAATTCTAGGGACAAAGCCAGTTCCTTAAGCCTTTCCCATTCCCTCCGAGTAGAAAAGAGCAAAAGGCATTCAATCTAGTTTCGATTTCCCCATCAAGCCATTTCTATCCACCGATACAGAGGTACAGGTGTGACAAGGTGAGGCAAGGAAGCCTGCAGGCTGCGAGGTGACCTGATAGCAGCCTTTCAGTATCTAAAGGGGAGCTACAGGAAAGAAGGGGACAGACTCTTTAGCAGGGTCTGTGGTGATAGAACAAGGGAAATGGCTTCAGGCTCAAAGAGGAGAGATTTAGTTTGGATATAAAGAAAAAGTCTTTTAGAGTGAGGGTGAGGCACTGGGACAGGCTGACTAGTGTTGTGTTTGGACACCTGAGGCCTTAGCCACCCCTAGCAGATACCTGCACTGGCAGTAACTGCCTGGCCTTGGGGCTGCTACCTCTGAAGATGATAAAAGACAACTACTGGAGATTTCAATACTTGAGCTTCTGAGTCAAGCATGGGGGACGCTGCTTTCCTCCTCAGGAAAACCAGTGCTCTTCTAGCACTGGGAGCTTTTAAATTACCTCCCCCTTGGTAGGGAAGAGTCACAGCTGGATGGGCCACATCTTAATGAAAATGACAGCAATAAACCATTCGTTTATTAGTTAAGAGAATCTCAAAATGACAGCATATACTTTATATCCACCCAATTCCTCAGTGTGCATCAGGGACTGAATCACCAATATCTTTGACAGCTGCTTTCTTTGGTGGAAATCAAGCTACAAAGAAGAGTGCCAGGACTCCTTTATCAATCAATTATAAGCACAGTCTTTCAAGACAGCTACAGAAAAAAGAGCAAGGAGGGGAGTGTGGGTAGTAGCATAGCCAGCAACAGCTCTCATTTTCATTCCTCCCGCAATATAAGTGACAGAGCTCATCCTCCACATGAGAAATATTTGTCCAGCAAGTCTCCCCTGCATGCAGCAAGGACAATAAGTGAAAGTGCACTTCCAGCACCAGTTCTGACCCAAAGACTAAAGTACTGACTCACAGTGATTGTTAGAAAACATGCTCCAGTTGGCACATAACAGTAGTTGCATGAACTGTCATATTTTGACAACTCATACAAGGGACCTCTTGCATGAAGTTTGAGAGATCTCTAGAGAAAATGAATACTTGAGAGGCAAGGGGAAAAGACATTTGTTGTCTTGCTGCGTGTTACCCTATTACTGAAAAAATGTTGAACTGTCATTGCATATTATCTGCAGATGAAAAGAAGCTATAAGGAAAAGAGTAACTAAAAGAAAGATTTTTTCTTCTTCTTCCTTGTGTAGCAGAGCTTTCAGCTTAGTTAGGCAGATGCTCCTTTGCCTGTGATTTTCCTCCCCGTGGATTTCAGCACCATTACACATGGCAAAAAGACAATCTAATCATTAAACAAGAGTTTATATGCCTGTATATGGGGTCACAGCATCTGCTATTTCATATGAGGCAATTCCATTAATTCAGTGTTAATGGAAGTCCTGCTCTATAATATTTATACCACTATTCCCAAAACTATATTAGAATAATTTAAAATTGCAAAATGCTTCTTTTGAAAGTTAGGGTGTGTTTGAACTAAGGTGGTACATCACTTTTGCATTATCTTTAATAACACATCATTGATTCATTTTTTCCTCCGTGACAAAGTATTATTCTGCTTATTCCTCTCCTGACTTTATCTCACCTTCCAACTGGAATTCACTGTAACAATTAGTTCACATCCGTGTTTCTCACTATGCCATGCTGAGTCAAGTATGTCATGTCATGGTATGTTTATCATTCTGAAAATGTCCATATTATTCTGATTGATGTATAGAACAAGTGGCCACGGGAACCTCACTGTAACATGCATTTGTCTAGCTGGTGCCCTCTTTCTCACTATCTTCCCTTTTGTTTGACAATCAAACTCATTGAATTTCCTGTCAGCAGTGTTTAGCTGGTATTCAACTCACGTGAATGAAACAATGTTTTGAATGCATGCATGAGTACTCAAATTCAGTGAGCTGCACTCAATGTAACAGAGAAAAAAATTAATCATCCAACACCTCGGTGAACAGCTGCTGAGCATCATCTAGGCAAACAGAATGACCCCAAATTATTTCACAGTAGAATTAGTCAGATGTGGTTCTTTACCCAAACCCAATTCAGAAAATCATGATCTCTTCACAGATGAGACTCCATTAGAAAGTGTAAAAACAAAACAAAAAATTAAAAACATAAACCCTCACCCTGTCAAATTATTTTTCAGAAGACATAGAGCTGAGTAAAATTGTTAATAAGATATTAATAGAGGGCATCTTTTAGATTATGCTTTTGTAGTAGCTATTAAGTCAAAACTGTGCAGCCTAAGAGAGGTATTTCTGTCTTTTGAGCAAAACTAATTCAGAACAGGCAGGGGAGTTCAGTTGCTACTGCAGGATCTGCTAAAGAGATGTTCAGACCACACAACTGCATAAGAAAAGAGTTAACAAGCTAAAACCATTGCCAGCTTTCCACATAGGGAAGGGCTGTCCTTAAGCCAGTTATCCTCCTAAGAACACGCTCTTCTTTCAAAATAGAATTTAGATGGGGCAAACTTTGATTTTTTTCCACTTCTTGCATTTGCCACCATGCTCGGGTCAGAGTCATGTACAAAGTCTGGTGTTGCAGGTTAGCTGGGGGTGTGTAGAGGATGGGGCAGAAAAGGGTGTACTAATGCCATGAAGCCTTCCAGGTCTTAATGGGTACCTGTACCCTGGAGCCCCTGCTAGAGAAACACAATCGTTTTTATGGAGTGACAGTTTCTTATGCAGTACCCATGTAGAAGAGAAAATTAATATTCAACCACCAGGACAAGAAATAAAAGATATTGTTGGGTGCAGTTGATCACGTAAGCCTAAGGACAAAGTTTCATCAGTGCTGCAAATGGGAGATAAGTCCACATATGCAGAATGCATTAAAAGAACAAAACAAAACAAAAAAGACAACACGAAGTCCAAATGAGCTGGGAATTTATCCTGAAAGCAGGAGGAGTATTTAAATCACTGTTCTCTTAAGGCCTTTGCTTTCTGCAAGGTAGGTGGATTATGCATCTCTGAGATAGTAGATGATGAATCAGTGCTTGTATAGAGACAAATCTAGAAATGTCAAGACAAGATAGGACAAAGCCTTATAAATGCTTCACTCTCAGTGCATTGTGTTGTGCCAGCGATTATCTTCTGGGACTGCTGCACATAGTTTCAGAGATAACATCAAGCACTGTTCCTGTCAGAACTAGTAGTAGCAGTCCATCAGAATGTTTAATTCTGAGTGGAAGAAGAGGGACCCTACATTTCAATTTACACAGCCTTTCAATCAAATAAATTTATCCAGTAGTGGAACACAGGACAGAAGTAATTAAGACAACTTACATTTCCCACTTCAGCAGTGTCAGTCAGTTAATTAGATGGGTCCCATCAGATGATTAGACAAACAAAGTTTTAATAGATGTTTTACTGAGCACTCGTTTTGAAATCTCTCTCATGTTGGGAACATTGAGGAAAGCTTCTGGCAGAATAAGAAAACACTCTGAGTAAAGGACTGTTGGGTTTTACTCCTGCTAATGGATGTATTGTGTGAATTTGGATTAACCACTTTATCAGAAGGCAGAGGTAGTCCTGGGACAAGTTTACTAGCCTAGGGGTGGGATGGAAAATCTACTAACAGGTGCTTAAAGGCTTTACACATTCAGAGGAATTGAGGGAAGTTTTAAGAATTACTCTTTTAGGCTTGAATGATGCTCTGCTCTACATTCACCGATCAGTCCTCCACATACTGCATATCTGAAGTGGCAATGATATGAAGTGTTCCAGTCTGAAAACCCTGATTCTGAGGGCCACTGCTGCCCCTTTGACTTCGAGAAGGCTCCACCAACCTTAGGAAAACTTAAGTTGCAAAGCTAGCAAAAAAAAAACAAATGACTCTTGCCCATATTTACAATTCCCAACAAATTTCAAGGTATGTGTCCAGAGTTGCATCTTCTGAAGTAGAAAGCAGCTTACAGACTGGTACTTTCTGTAGTAAGAAGCAAACCAGTTAAGGTTCTGGGGACTTTTTAAAAATAGATCATAAGGCAGAGTAATCTGCTCATCCAATTTTTTTGTAACACATCAACAAATTCCTGCCTTTCCTTGCAAAACAGATGATTAAAATAAGGTAGAATTTGGTCTCGTCCAACCAGATGAAAACATAATAAATAATTTCTGTTTAGATGCAATGCATTTATCTCTACGTAATGCTATCAGATAGAACCAGTGCTTTTAGGTCTTAAGAACAAAGTTTTCCCTTAGAATGGTTTTTCTTTCTGAAAAACTGAAAGAGTTTAGGAAGAAGTAAAAAGAATAAAATAAAAATCATTCTTGCAACTTCTAAGAAAGCCAAGTGGAGAAAAAAGATTGTACTACTGTCCCTTCCCAAATGAAATCGGTGTGTCCTCATCGTTCAAGCAGATACAACAGCTAAGAGCAGATATTGTATGCCAGTGGAAAGAATATATATTGCACACATAAAAGGCTGCAACATAAATTTGAAGAAATATGGGCCTCCTTCATATAGGTAGGTCAAACTTTTCCCTCAAGCAGATAATTACAGACTTGGGGTGAGTAAATCTTATTAGCCTCTCAGCACCTTAACTCCTCTCATAGACTGCTAGCAGATATATAGTAGGCATATACTACTTCAGTAGCTGTGGTTTGTCAGGAAATATGTTGTACCAGAAAACAGATTAAAACAGTTTCCCTAATTTTGGAAAGAGTGGAAGTTATGAAAGAAGATGGCAAGCAAAACCGAGTTTGGTATGCTGCACCTCTGTTTACATCACTGGATTCAAATATAGCACTCAACACTGTTCAGGACCCTGTTTTGGAGGAAGAAGGGTAGGCTGGAGCAGCCCAGGTCATCAGGCACCTCTGTGGGGATGGCAATGGGCCAAGTCTAGCTCAGGATAGGGGGCTCCTGGGCTGATGTGCAGAAAGATAGGAGGCCCCAGAGGAGGCTAATAGGGACATTAAGGCAAATTAGTGCCCTCAGTGGCTGACAGAATGGATATTTTATCTTTGGCTTTTGATTGTTTTGCTCTGCTATTATACCAGTATCCTTAGGCAGTTAGTTACAGACTCTTGAGAAGAACTCATAAGCAGCACTTACTGTGTCGTCCTCTATGGGAGAAGAAAGGAGATGTATCCCTCATGATCCAGGTCAGGTTCCAAGAAGAGAGACCAGGAAGAAGAGGAGGACTGCTTGTTGGGAGATCCAAACTGCTCAGACCTTTCATTAGTAAAAAGAAAAAGAAATACCAACATTATGTATGCCACACATTAAGTGCAAATATCACTTAATACTTAATTCTTATTACTTAATAACTTTATAGACTACATGCACTGAGCACCAAGATTAGACTGCTCAGTTTTTCCTGCCAGACGTATGTTTGTAGAGGGGAACTGGACATAAATTCCTATATGTAACATAATTATCATCCCCTAGAAAAAGCATCAACTTTACTCTTACAGAGATTCTAAGTCCCTCTATTTATTTATTCTTAAAGTTTTGCTAGCATTTCAGGATCCCACGCACGGAAGACGCAACTATGTGCAGGTTCTGTTCAATGATTCTATATATCTCAGAACTGGAGAGTGTCTGTGCAAAACTGCATTACCTCTGCAAAACCAAGGCAATATTGGAGGTGCAAAGAGAATCTGAAATAGAACGTACAGTCAATGAACAGAATGCTATGGGCTTTGACAGCACAGATTTTTCCTGGGAATGTTTAAGTTGGTTTAAGTTTTTCTGAAGATTGTGAAAGCTTCAGTACTCTCCTCTCGTTTTTTGAGGACCTTGGAGGAAAGGTAGGATTTAGCTCTGTAGAAGTACTGACAGGCAAAACTTGGGTTGGGGAAGTTTGATGCAATAAAATACATCTCTGGCTTGCTGATTTCTCAGAGAAGCCATGAAGAAATTGTAGTCCCAAAGGAAAAAATAAGAAGTGCATTTTTGATCTGTTGATATTCTTGACAAGTAAGAACATTACAGATGCTGGCGTGAATTCTGTTAGTTTAGGTGCAACACTAAGGTTTGCTGTAATAAAACCAAAACAAAATGGTAACACCTCCCAATAAAAGTTTGGTAAAACTTTCTGTAGCAAAAGGAATTAACTAACTTGAGTGATAATTGATTCAGAGTGTTGAAGAATTGTTCTCCTCAATAGATAGATAATGGTGGATAATAAAAAACCCCAATGTTTAAGTGGATAATAGTAAGCAGGGTAAATGACTGAAGCCTTGGCAAAAACATTGCTCTGTTCTGCTAAAGCTCTGCTTAGTGCCACTTACTTCTTCCACTGTATAAAAACATGAAAATTCCAAGTTCTAGTTGAGCCCTACCTCATTCTCAGTGTAATCTCATTTATGGGAGCCCTGTCACTAAGTAATGGTAGCAAAAAGAAAGGAAAAATAACTATTTTTATATGAGCACTGTAACTCTTGCTCATTGCTTTAAGCAATAATCTTCATGATAAGAATGGATTTCATGCTGTTTTATAAGTCATTCTGAAGTAGCAAAAAATTAACAACCCTAATGGCTCAGTGAAATCTGGCCCCTGTGCTGTTACAGTACAATAAGTAGATATCCCTGTTATTGACTGGAATTTAGAAGAAAGAAATTCACGCCATTTATTTATGAGGGTAGGTAAGAAACCTGGTGTCCTGTTTTCAACTGTGAATAACAAAGTAATAAGTAACAAGAATATAACCTTTATATTGGATTTGCCTTCCTTAATGTGAAGTCATAGTTTACACCTCTTTCAATAGCCCCTGATATGGGCTGTTGTATGTAGATGTGGCAAATAATGTCAGTTTCATTACAGTAGATGTAGTTGTTACTAAAACAGATTTTGTCCTACAAGTGTTCTAAACTTTGATGCTAATATAAAATAATAAATTTTTATGAAATCATAAAAATTGAGCTCCTGTGATAAGCTAGTTTTAAAAGCAATGGGCATATTATTACGTGTTTTCCTTGAGGTGAGCATGTGTATACCCCTGTTATATAATATCTCCATCCAGTTACTCTCCAAAATAGGGAAAGATTAAGGAACTTTGCAAAACAAGAACTTTGAGGCCTCCTTAGCCCTGCAGGACCCAAAGGAGTATAGTTGTCATACAGAGTACTGATAGGGAGATAAGTCTTGGGTTCAGAATCCTGTCAAAACTTAACACAGACCTGAGAGCCTACCCACACCCAAGGAAAAGCAATCTGAAAGGAGGTCACACAGTTGCATTCCTCTCCCTAACGCAGCTGCCACAGCCCTAAGAATTAAATCACTTTCATTATCCTGACCAACCTTACCTGGGACAAGAGCCAAAGGATCCTCAAGTCCCCTGGCACTTCCAGAAATATGCCTCTGACAGCTCTAATGCAATACACATCTCATTCTTCAAAATTCATTCCTTCTTTCAGCTTCAACTGAAAGTCCCCACTGCCACCAATTTATGCAGCACACTGAGATAAAAAATGAAGTTGAACATCTGACAGGTAGTCCTGACACATGAACTTCTGCTCAGTCAGCAGCGAGAGGTGCAGAAAAGATAGCATCAAAAATTAAAACTTTTTGTCTCTCTCTTATTTCTTTTTAAATAACAAAACAGATTTAGTGCAATTCATTTAAACCTAATAACTCTTTTTTTTTTTTTTTCCTCATACTCCATAAGATTAATCTCATAACTTCATCTCAAATGATTTGGCTGGGCTATTGGGCTGAACTTGAAGACAAGAAGATTGTATCAGAAGTTATGAATCCTTCCCGATTAAGTTATCTTCAGGGAAAGATGCTGTGTAAAAGGTTCTGTGTAGCCAAGAGGCTACTCTTCACGGTGAGGAATTATTAGATTTCAGAGTAAGCTATAGGTTAGGAAAAGGAAAGACCTCTCCTCTTCTACCTCCAGGGCATTTTATGATCAGAAAGGTAATTACAGAAGACCTGTATATCAGCTAAACAAATGCTCCTTGTGCAGCAAGGGTAATACAAACCTTGACTACACTGTAGTCATCTCAACAGATAAAGGCTTTTCCCTTCTCCAACACAATTAATATTGAAACCAAAAATGACTTCTTTTTAAATATGCTAACCTCCCAGTGCTGGTTATCCATGCCATGGTGCTCTATCACTTGTCAACATAACCCTAACCTTTAAAAAAGAATAAATGGATTAGCAACTAAAAGCTGACAGCCCAATTTTTAGTAGCCAGACATTTGGCAAGCTATAACAGATGTTTCTTTGATATTCCTGCCTAAAGGAATATCCAGGGCCAAATTCTGACCCAAGGCACTCAATCACAGCTAGAAACATGCACCTGAAGAGAGCATTTGACATTTCTGTTTTTAAACTTGTGCAAAGAAGTTTCCTTAGGGGATGTGAAATTCATTCTGCTCACCGAGATTTTGGTTTAAAAAAAAAAAAAAAAAAAGTTTCATTTGCACTGAAGTCAATCCTCCCAGCCACAAATTTATTAGATAAAATATTTATGTACTGTTTTTAATGAAAAATATCTCTTTAATAGAATAACCTTTCATGTTCTCAGAAAAACTGGCATATGAGAAAAGTCTTCCGGGTCCTTTTTAAATAAACTGGATTCCTTCCTTTGTCATCTTTTCTGAACGAAGGCAGGCACATACCCAGTAATTAACATACAGTCTTCTAAAGTTCTGTGTAGTGCAGAAATGGAATGGAATTTTTAATCAAAACACCCGTGCTATCTTTAACTAGAAAGTACACCTTCATGTTTCAGAATATTTTAGCACAAGTCCTTTGCTTATTGCTACCTTTGGATATTGCCTGGTGGATGTGCTTTCTCACATGGCTGTGCCGCATTATTCCCAGTTTCTCTCAGCTGGTCCTCATCAAAGTTACACTGTAGCAGCAAAACAGGATGGAAAGCTTTTTCCAAGAAAAACACTAAAAATATATTGAGAACCCAAGCAGGCAACCCAATATCTTCATGCTTGGCAGTGAATAGCTACCTTCGGATCTACATTTGCAGGAGGATGTGTTCTTACTATTTGTGAATCTGAGGTGACAAACCCATATTTAGCTGTCACCTACGTTTCAGACGTTTGCAATTCCTAGCAAATCTTACAATCGGATGCTTAAAAACAGCCTCCATTAAAATCTGGCTTTTCCCCCAGATTTCCAGATCTGGGGAAGTCTGACGTTTTAGGAAAGCTTATTCTGGTTCCGCATAAAAAGTAGCAATTTTCCCCAGAAAGGATATGATATAGTAATATCCCCAATTAAAAAAAAAAAAAAAAAAGCAGGGGGGGGAGGTGTGCAAGACCAAGCAACCTCCATTTCATTTAAACAAACAATAAATTAGTGGGACAGCTGATGGCCCCATGTATAGGAAGCATCAGAGATATGGAGAGGTCTCTACACGCACCCCAAGACACCATAAGAATAAGCAACTCCAAGCCTTTGGGGCCCTGGAGCTAACATCTTCTTCTTGCAAAGGATCCTGGTCATTTCTGCCTAAGACCAGCAGGATTTTCAGGCTGTATAGGGTAGGATTTTCAGGCTCTGTGCAGCTACAAGCACATATCTTAGGAGATTTTGTTGAAGGATTCCTGAGTTCCAAGCTCCAAAAAAGCACCAGATTCCAAACTGTGAGGGGAAAGGGATTCAACGAGGGGGATTGCCTGAGAATTCCCTGTAATCTCACAAATTCACCACCAGTCCTCACGATCACACTAACAAGCGTTCATACAGCCTCTTAGGAACTCTCACGTTTTCTCCTAATCCCATTCACAAACAGCATCAATCACAAAAGCACAAAGAGTCCTTTGCTATATCAAGGCGACCAAGCAGCATCAAAGCCAACAAATAACTGAAGTAAGCACTTGGTGAAGGACCCATGGACTCAGCTTTGCTCGTAAGAGCTTTTGTCTAAATGACACTCAGGAGCAAAAGTCAAATTCTGTCTCCAGTTATGGCAGAGAAGGAGGCAAAGGGCAACCCCTGTGCTCACAGTTGACCGCTCTGAATGGCTGCTGAGCTTTGTTTACACTAATGGGTGGATGGATGCCAGGGTTTATTTTTACAAACCTCTTCTAAGGTAAGAAAATGTTCACTGACAGTCTGTCAAGTTTATCTTTTTCAGTTGGAAAATATATTTAATAATGCATTACGTTGCAATGATTTTATGTCACATGGCAACCCTGATGAGCACAAATAAACGATAGTATGTGTGTCACCAAACGTGTTCTGGAACACTGTGGAG